AGACAGATGTAAGAGTGCAGATAAGTGGTAGCTCAGTTACATTTAAGTCCCATGTTATAAGGTCTTCTAACTGATCAGCATTAGGATTTATTTCTGTTTTTTTTTTTACTCTGATACTACTATCTCTAACTTGAGTTACCTCATCTTCTCCTCGAATCTTAAGAATCTTAGTTATAGCTTCTTTTCTTTCTTCTGTATTTTTGCTGCAAAGCATGGCTTGTAAAATGGCTTCAGAATGTGTATACCACGTTGATCGCCTAATTGTTGGCATAGCAATATCTAAAATATTTTTATTCTGTGTTCTAAGTAGCTCTAGTTGATACAAAATATGTCTAGGTCCCTCTATCCAATTTGATTTCACTTTAATGTTAAACCAGTTAGGTATGTAAACACTAACAATAAAATTTACAATCATTTGTAAATTTTCTAAATTTTCACCAGTAAGCCCATGATTTGACACCCAAATTCTGAAAAACCGAAGTGTTGTTGTTAACCATCTACTGTGACAGACTGGTCCGATTTTCAGCATTGCTAACCTGCTAGACAGAACTCCAGTCTTTATTGCTTGGCAAATTTGGTATGCATAACTTTGGTCAGTGCTTAAATCCTTATAAATCTCCTGACTGAGATATATTAAAGGAGGACCTAAATTTATTATAGTGAAGTTTGAATTGATTTCAATTTCAGTTGCTGTGTCAAGCATTTTGCCAAGTGGTCCAGACCTTTTATTATAAAAAAGTGTTGCAATATCTAAATTTTCAATTAAATGTCTCAACCCTAATTCACCAGTGTGTAGATCACAAACAATCCACACTACCTTCTGTTTAATTATTTTTTTCTATCCATGGCATGACACCACCTGCCCAACCTGTATTCACATTTGTAATATCTCCTCCAATAGCCATAAGATTTTGAATTTGATTCTTACTTTTTAACCAGTCAACCAAATGATCTGCAATAACTTCTGCTTTTTTTATCAGCTTTCGCATCTGGAACGAAATGAAAAAGATATTCACCCCAGGGTCTTTTACAACAGAGTATGTTCCTTTTTAATAAGGCTAGGAAAATTTCTTTCATCTACCTCTATAAACATTTTTGTAGCATCTACTCTCCCATCAAAAAAAAGGCATGTAACTGGGTTTTTTTCTAGGTCTACCTCAAACTGATTGTCTAACTCGTTTGCTAATTTTTTTTGAGCCCCTTTGATTTTGTTATGATCTATAGTAAGATGGAAATCACTCTCACTTATAAGTTTTGCATCTATCAAAGTAGCTGTGGCTATTTCAGCTGCTTCTCTTAAACTTGTTTGATGTCTCATGCTAGCCAGAGCAATATTTTTGATTTTTGTAGTACATGGAAAATGTTTGATTTAGAGAAGATTTGCAGTTAGTTGGACTTGTTATTTGCAGTTAGTTCTACTTGGATTATATTCTGCTCACAATCATCTTGAAATGTTATAGAGGAGCTATTTGCGTAAACTGTTTCAACAGTATCGTGATGTACATAATCCTAAAAAATATAAGTTCTTTTTATTTTTAATCAGTCTAAACATTATTAACAACTTATTTAACACCCCACCTACTCAATTTCATATTTTTTTACAAAAATACTATATAAATTTTTAATTTGACCAATAATTGTACCCCATTTTAATATAGAATATAAAGAAACAAAACTTTTACAATGAAATAGATGTTTTCATAGAAAATAATAGTTTTAAACTTACTTGTCCTCCATGGGACTGAAAAAGTGATACAGATTCATATTCATTCAGACAATCTAATTTTTCAAGTTTATCATTTGTTTCATCTGGCTTAAAATAAAAGTAATATATATATATATATATATATATATATATATATATATATATATATATATATATATATATATATATATATATATATATATATATATATATATATATATATGTATATATATATATGTATATATATATATAAATATATATATATATATATATATAAATATATATATATATATATATATATATATATATATATATATATATATATATATATATATATATATATATATATATTGTAATTATAAAGGCAAAGTTGTTCAACTTAACTGCTTAAATAATGATAAATAAAAATAATAATAATAACTGTAGATCAGCTAGTGACTGATATGGTACCAACTGTACTTGGTCAATGGTTAATCACTTTTTGTATATCCAGTTATATATATATATATATATATATATATATATATATATGTATATATATATATATATATATATATATATATATATATATATATATATATATATATATATATATATATATATATATATATATATATATATATATATATATATATATATATATATAAATATATAATATATATATATATATATATATATATATATATATATAAATATATATATATATATATATATAAATATATATATATATATATAAATATATATATATATATATATATATATATATATATATATATATATATATATATATTATAATAATGTTTGTATATATTATATTGTAGTACAAGCTTTCTAATTAACCAGCTACCTCTTTATCATTGCTACTTTTTGTTGTTGTTTTTTTTCAATTTTTTTGGATTCTTTTCTGCACCATCAAAATAAAAAGTTCAAAAGTCTCCGATTTTAGTTCTCTGAGAATGAATGAATTGAAGCTCTACAATTTGAATTTTCTCTTTTCTCTTACATTTGCATTTTATATGAATTTTTCCATATATTCTGAAGCACATTTATACTCTGAACAAAGAATTAATTTATGTTTACATAGTAAAATGTTCACAAGTTTGTCTAATTTTAAAGAAAATTTTGCTTTTTCAGCTTTTTCTACCACATTCATTACCAAAATCAACAGCCGATTTCCATAAACATTTAAGTTTTTTAAAAATTGTTTTTCCATGGATTACAACTGGATATACAAAAAGTGATTAACCATTGACCAAGTACAGTTGGTACCATATCAGTTACTAGCTGATCTACAGTTATTATTATTATTATTATTTATCATTATTTAAGCAGTTAAGTTGAACAACTTTGCCTTTATAATTACAATCACTTTATAATTTATATACTAAAATCAGTAAACTAAGTTGCTTGTTATTTTTTTTGTTTTTTTTTGTTTTTTGTTTGTTTGTTTTATAACAGTATAGTTCCTCCTATTTTTTTCACTAATTTCTCTTAAAAGTATACCATATCGTGAAATATCTCTGGCTGTAGGAAGCTCAGATACATAAAGTTCTTTTCCATTGCCTACAAGTTTGCTCATTTTGATAAATATTTTGATAAATATTTATAAATATTTTGATAAATAATTCCTTTTTCTATTTGACGTCTTTAATTAAGTAAATAAGTTTACCGGAGCTTTTCTTTTGGTCCAAATACGAAGTATAAATGAAAAGAAATGTATAGTTACGCATTTTTATAACTTATTTTGGTAATAACCAAAAAAAGTAATAATAAAATGAAAAATTACCAAGATAGCACTGAAATAATTTCATTTTTAAAAACATTATTCTTATTAAAAAATTATAAAATATATATTTTTTCACTACTCTTTTTTTATATTTAAAAAAGTGCATTTTACCATAAAAATTGACACTCCCTACTAAGGAATCCCTTGTAAAACTGTTTTCTGAAAGTAAATTTAGTAACCTAGGATTATTTTTAACTTCAAAATTTTTTCAAAAAATTTGCAGTGAAAAGTAATCCAAGTTATTTCCAAGGAAGTTCAATTGTTTTTTGTGTTTTTTTTAACTCTCTCTTCATACTATCTTATCTAGCTTATTATCTACCAGTACTTATCCAGCTTATTATCTACAAGTACTTTCAATCTCTTTTTTCTAGTCTTAGATATTTTTTTTATGGCAGCTATACTTTAGAAGTTCTTTTTATAGAAAAATAACTTCTTATATATTGTTATTATTTTGATCTAGTGTTTCTCTTTAACAAGTTCAAGTTAAATCCAAACTTCAATACTTTTTTTTTTTTTAAGAAAAAACTTAAATTATCTACTCGTTCAATTCTTAAACTTAAAATAATTGAAATCCATTTATTTTAAAGCTGAGTATCATGTAAAGCAATTCTGTGTATTTATTGTTTTGTGTGTTTTTTAGATTTTAGATTATTAATTTTTTTTTATTTTTTAGATTGAGGAAGAAGTTTATAACTATGTAAACAAACACAATCTATTTGTCAGTTTAAATGGCTCAGCCCATTTTGATAAAATGATTGGCTATTTAATTCGATCTCAAAAAATCAACAATTTGCTTCTCAAAACTATTACCTCTGGGAAGTATGATTTTATTTTTATGTTACCATTTATTGTTCTTTTAAAAATTTAAAATAATTAATTAAATTTTTTCTAAAAAGTTTTTTTTCAAAAAACACTACCCTGACCTATCCTATTATTCTTGTTTATTTTAAAATATTTTGGTTTTAGCCTTAAAAATGCAGTAGAACTTATAACTCTTTATGCATCTTTCTATCCAAAGTCATTGGTTGCACAAAAAATCAATGAAGGTTTAGACGCAAAGCATGCTTTATTGGTATTTTTTGTATTTTTGATTTTTCTTTTTATTAAAATTTTTATTTTGAGGTTAAATTTTATGCCCTCCAGGACTTTTTAAGCTTAAGTTAAAGCAACCTTTTTTTCAATAATAAATAATTTCTTGCGATAAGGTTCTTCACTCACTGCAGGTTGATAGAAAATTTGATAAAATGTCATAAAAAAAACTTTTATAAAATCATCCTAAACTATCCTAATATAAGCATTGTTTATTCTAAAATAATTTGGTTGCATTCTTAAAAGCGCAGTGGAATTTTTGACTGCATTTTTTCATCCTTATATGTTACTTGTGCAAAAATATTGTAATTGTAAATAACTGTTATAGTTTGAAACTGTTTTTTAAAAAAATCAGATTACTGTTATTAATTCAGTTAAGCCGCTATTGGTTTTAGTTTTTAATTAAGAATTTTGACATTTTGTTTAGTTGTGTTATTCAGCTATTATTCAGTTAGCATTATTTGCTGTTGATTTTAATTTTTATTTAAAAAAAAAAAATTTAATTTCAAAAATATAGTAAAAAAGAGAAGTTGTATAGATTTTTTATTCAATTATCTTAAGTTATCTTAGTTCAAGTTGTTGCAAAAAAAAAAAAAGTTTAAGTTGTTGCAAAAAGAAAGAATTTAAAGTAAAAATAATTCATAAACATTTTATAGCAGAATGTCAGTTTTGAGCGGTTCACTGTAGTTTAACTCATAAACAAAATGAGAAAAACTTCTTTTGGAATCTTTTATTATATTTTTGTAGATTCTGTGGGTTTATTACAAAAAAAATTAAAATAAACTAGAGGGAACCAGGGAAACCTAATTTTTTTTTTTTACCAAAATGCTTTTTACTGTACAAAAAATAACTTAAAATCAATAAATATGACTATCTTCAAAAAAAAATAGGTTCTCACTGATTTCTTCTGGAATCTTTTGTAATATTTTTGTAGATTCTGTGGGTTTGTTACAAAAAATGTTAAAGTAAACATAATATAATTTATATTATTTGGAAAAGATAATAAAAATTAATTACCTCACCCAACCGAATTTCACCAAAAAATCTTGTGGAATTCAAGATTGAATTCCATAAGATGGAGTTCAATGTTAAGATTTGAATTCAATGTTAAGATTCAAATTCAAATAAACTAAATGATTTAATAATGAATGAATATATGAATTTATAGCATTTAAAATAGCTAAACAAAAGCAATTTAAGGTTAATTAGACAATGCCTGAGCATTGTTTAATTGAGGAAGCAAACTTGGATGCATTTATGCTACTGTAGGATAGCACTAATAGGAAAGACTTTCAAGCTTGGCGTTTTATACCACACAAACTGAATGGTTGTCAGGAAGGTCAGTGAGTAGACACCTGCATGAATCTCTTGTTTTTGCATCACCTGCTAATCTAGTTTGACTATCATTACAAGAAACAAGAAGTAGATATTCTATGTAAACCACTTCAAAAAGTCAAATCAACGCTAATAATCAAACCAACAATCATTAGATATGTATAGAGATTAGGACTATGGCTCTCGATATTTCTAAAGGTTTTGATAAAGTTTGGCATGCTGGTCTTTTCCATAAGCTCTCTTCTTGCAGTGTGTTAGGTAAAAATTTTAAGACTATTGAATCCTTGCTTACCAATCGTAGTATAAAAGTTATACACTTTGAACAGCACTCTTCTTCATTTTCTGTAATCTTCAGGGGTTCTTCAAGGTTCTATCCTTGGCTTTATACTTTTTTAAATTTACATTAATGATCTTTCAGAAATTCTTATATCTAAGGTTCGATTGTTCACTGATGATACTACCATTTATTCTTGTCTTGATAAGAAGTCAATACTCTCTGATTGTTTGGAGGGGGCATTTGAGCTGGAAAAGGATGTCACTTCTGCTACAGCATAGAGATCTCAGCGGCTGGTGAATTTTAACTCAGATAAAACTCTTTTTTTCATATAATCGTTATTGCAATAATCTAGATCTTTTATATTTATGAACAGTAATGTACTCAATGAGTCATCTACTCTTTGTCTTCTAGAACTCTTACTTTCAATCTTTCTTGAAAAAATCCATTGCAAAATTAGCACCTGCTAATATTGCATCTCTTTATTGTGCTCGCCAATTTCCGGATCAATTTCAATACTCCGGATTCTATTCTTTATCTCTATAAATTTCACATCCTTCATTTTGTACATATAATATGAGTAAAAATAATATGTTTATAATCATTTTTAAAAAGTTGAATTTTACTAAATAGTTAAAGTTAATTCACATTTTTGCACAAATAATTTGGGAATTGCTTGATTATTAACTTATAGCGAATAGAAATAATTTTAGTTAGGGAGTTAATCTGATTTTTCTAAAAACACCTTTGAACTCAGAAATATGGATACCAAAAAAAAATTTTTGTGACATTCTATCAAACCTCTTTCTGTTTCAACACAGTTCAAAAATTTAAGGTTTAAGTTTGCTTTTCGAGTTTACTCTCAGATTAAATTTATGTTAACTCTCAAACCCCAAAAATGTTAATAAAAACAGTATGAGAGACATCTGGACGAATATTTGAAGAAATATTATAATGTTTTGGCAAACTTAAGTTAATAATGCTTGTTGAATTGTACCCTCGATTTGAAACAATAAGAAGTTTAGTAAGGTTATAAAAATCAATAATACGTCAAGCGGATAACACAAACATTGGTAAAATCTTAAGTTAAATTTTTTGTATAAAACCATTGAAAAAGACATTAATAAAAAATTAATATATGCGATGCAGGAGGCTTTATAAGCGCGAATTTCGTAAGTGCGAACTGGCATAAGTGCGAAGCGTTGCAAAAATTGACATAAGTGCCAATTGGCATAAATGCGCCGAATAAATTTGAAAACATTGGCATAAGCGCAGATTGACATTTTGTACTTATGCTAATTCGTCCTTATTATTAATGCCAGTTCGCATTATTCAGTTGTCCCATTCGATGTATTTTTAAAATACATCGTATTTGTCATATAATATTATGCCACTATGCATACAATATTATTATTTTACTGAATATGCTCTACTATACACTATTTTCTTCTAAACTCTGACTTTATTAAACACACTTTTTCTAAATTAATTTCGAGCAGGTATAACATTTTTTTACCAACTTAAAGCATTCTAATGATGTTTATGTTTAAATACAAAATTGCAGAACTTGAAAGTTGGTATATGAACAGTTGATAAACCTTTCTATCAGTATATTTAGTTTTAAAAAAAAAAATTGATGGGCAAATCTATAATGTCAATTTTCTAAAAATGTGAATCTTTCCAGATTTTTCTAAAGATGAAAATGAAGATGTCCCTCGTACTATTTTTATTAACATTCCTTTCCTTAGATGTCCCTCGTACTATTTTTATTAACATTCTTTTCCTTAGATGTCCCTCGTACTATATTTATTAACATTCCTTTCCTTAGATGTCCCTCGTACTATTTTTATTAACATTCCTTTCCTTAGATGTCCCTCGTACTATTTTTATTAGCACTCCTTTCCTTAGATGTCCCTCGTACTATTTTTATTAACATTTTTGGGGTTAAGAGTATTCCATTATTAAATGGTATTCTATTCTCTGATTGGAAACTTACTCTAATAGTTAACTGTGAAACCTCTGAGATTTAACTTAACCTTAAATTTCTGAACTGAGACAAGCTCATTGTGCTTCTATTTAGAAAACAAGGCATTTTAAGTTCCTTTTTCTAAGTTTTAACCGTCGCAAAATCTATTATCGTTGTAAAATCTAGTTAAAAAATGTTTTAGTAATTGTATTAGTAGGCTTGAAACTTCCTATTTTATAATTGTGATGAGCTTTATGGCGGCTGTTTCGTCGCTGATTTAATAAATAATAACATTTCTGTAAGTTGGATGAATTTTGAAGAAACCTTTACAATTTTATCATTATTGTTGAATTTCTAAAAAGCTATAGAAATTTTGTTAAAAATGGTCCGAGGTTCAGCTTTAACAAAAAAATCTAAAAAGTATAGTCTTTAAAAAAAAATTTCCATTGCTTATAATTATGTAAAAAATATTATAATTGCTTTTAATTATGTAACAGGTATATCTTCAAGAGCAAGGTCTTCTCGCAGAAACGAAAAAGTATTTTACCTCGCATTTTAAACCGGACTGTGATGAGACAAGCCTAATAGAGGGATCGTTTAATAATAATAACAGTCATTTGTTTAATTTAACGGAAACACGATAAACTTTAGAAGAAAAACAGTTGCCTACAAAATAACGTTAAAGGATTTTGTGTTAACTTTTTTTACTGTTAACATTCAGGTTTTATTTTTAGTTATCGCCACTTGTGACGTTTACAGCTAACTAAATATATACTAAATACTAAATAAAAGCGATACTTAAGTAACTTAGTAACGCAATCAAAATGCTATTTTATAATTTTTTATTAGTGTGCGTTGCTAGAAATTCACAACAAGAATGTTCTAATTTTCTTCTTTAGTTCGGTTAGCTTGAAGTTTTTTCGCAATAAAGACAAAGTGAAATTTAGGTGCTCTTTTTGTGCATAAATACTCTTTTCTTCCATCAATACAGCTCCTTAAACTCCTTTTACTACATAAATATATATATATATATATATATATATATATATATATATATATATATATATATATATATATATATATATATATATATATATATATATATATATAACTATTAACAATAATTAACATTAGCAACCGCTAAAACATAAAAAATAATTACTAATTAAAAAACTATTAAATTGCAAGCCGCATATGTCGTCATCTAATTTTTCAGACCTTTTTACAATAAACTACAGTATTAGAACTACCCAGCTAGCACACATACGTTGTTAAAATATTAGAACAATGTCGCGCGTTTAGTTGGCCCAACATCGGCTGTCAACGTTGTCTTTATATCATTATGGTTACAAATGCGACGTCGCCATCAACTAAAAACCAATGTTGATAAAACGTTTATTTAAAGTCGGAAAATAGTTATATTTTCTACGTTGATTCAACGTTTTATTTTATACGTTGGCCCAACGTTAAATTTTAAGTTAGCACAACGTTGTATTTACGTTGATTCAACGTTGGCAAAACGTTGTGTTCAATACTTTTTCGGAATATACTTTTCATTAAATCTTATTTTCATTAAATCTTATTTGCTTATTATCAACTTATTATCAAATTTGCTTACTATCAATCGTTGATATATAGCATATTGCTATATATCAACGTCGAAATTAATATATTGAATCAACGTTGGGTTTAAATCGTAAAAACTCTCAACTTTTTACGATGTTTTTACATAGATTGGAAAAACGTTAATTTATATACATTGAATCAATGTCGAGATATATACATAGGATAAACGTTGGGTTTAGAACAATCAAATTTTTGCGATGTTTTTACATGCATTGGAAAAATGTTGATTTGTATACATTGAATCAACGTCGAAATATATACATTGGATCAACATTGGGTTTAGATCGTAAAAACAATCAACTTTTTGCGATGTATTTACATATATTGGACCAATGTAAATTTGCCAGATATTTTTAGTTCCGTCGGTAATAATTTTATTAACCAAACGATTTTGGATCAACGTTGGTTTTACATTGGAAAAAAGAGTCGACGTTTGCGATGGTTTTACATACGTTGGTTCAATGTAAGTGTGCTAGCTGGGTAAGAACATAAAAAATACATATAAAAAAATTTACAAAGACGTAAACTTGAAAAACATTTTTTTCTAGTTTACGATACAACTGTCTTTATGTATTCACTGTTGCGCTATAATACTATTATTGTTTTGTACTAGACATTTAAATTCGTCGATTTTTTCAACGTAAATAAAGAATTTCCTAACAGACCAAAATATATTATACAATAAAAATGATTTAAATAGCTAAAGATATTAAAGACTTATAAACCTGGTAAGACTGGTACCAGTCAACAACCTTGATAAACTGATTATTCTGTTATTGATTGGTTTATAACTCTTGAGAAATTTTAGGTATTTAAATTTTTCAATAAAAAACTAAACTTAATGCTGATGCGTCAATAGTCGAACATAAAAGATATTCATAACACCACAAAAATGATAGAGAGCACGCGACAGGCTATTGTTTTCGAATAAGAAAGAACTAGTGGATATATATTTAAAACTCCAACGAATACTTAAACGAATACGAAAACTGTATTGCCAACAAGTGTTTAATTGGTGTATGGAGTTTCAGCAAGTGGTAACATTGTGACAAAACTTTGATCATCTCCGGAGAATGGCACTTTGTTTTCTACGAAAATATTTTACAAAAATAGAAAAAAGCACAAAATGTATAAAGTCTTTTACTTTCATACTAGCAGTAAGCAACCCGTAATACGCGTTTTTAGTAAATAAAATTAAAAAAAAAAACCGCGTATAGAAAAGCCTAGAAACTACTTTAAAATTGAAAAGCCTAGAAAATGACGTAACTCGACTAATAATAATATTAAATTAGCGTATTCATATTATCAGATAAAAGAAAAAACTTTATTGAGCTATTGTAAACTTTTACATTTTATTTGAGATTTTATTCATACTTTATTTTTTCTTAAAAGTTTAAATACCAGTATTGCCGGGATTAAATATATTCAGTTCAATTATTCATTCGGTATTGAAAAATGATCTCGGTATTAAATGCTCAAAACACTTGTTCTTCTGAAAAAAAAAAAAATAAGTAATCAGTCACAAATAATTTATTGGAAAAAAAGTATTTGGGGTAAGTTGGCAAACATTTTATGGGGCTAGTTAGCTTACCATTAATTACTATGAGAAAAAAAAAATTAAATTTATGAAAAATTTAAAAAATTATTAGATAAATAATCTAGCTTGTGCATAAAAGTTGAAAACATTTTTTAAGGGATTTAAATTTTTTAAAATTTAAATTTTTCTCTTATTTATTACCTGCTCAAGGGATAATAAATTTTATTTACCCTTTTATTAAATTTTTGAAAAGATGGTCGTAAATTTGCAGTTATTGCCAAATTTACCATAAATACCAAAACAAACATACCAAAATCACCATACATATGGTGTCATTAAAACCTTTTTCATCACATGCGCTTAAATTAGACTTATATTAGACGCTATAGTATGCATACAAATCGTTGAGTAAACGTTTAAAGCTAAAACTTTTTTAAAACTTGCAAGATGAAAAAAAGGTATATGACTTTAGATAAAATTGCTTATATTAAAAATATTAGGAAAAAATAGTCGGAATGTCGCTAGGACTGGTGAAGCCGATACACCGGCATAAAAAAAATGTTTTTAAAATTTAACGGAAAATTTTCCAGGGAAATTTTGAATCAAAATTTATCTTTAAGTTTACATCGCTAGTTTGCACTAACTTACCCAACCCCATAATATGTTGGCACACTTTTTGAATCTAGTTTTGTCCCCAAGAATATTTTTTTAAATAAATGCAATTTAAACATGTTATCCAAAATTCATATTCTACAAGGCTGCATCTTGACATTTGTTTAAAAATCTGCCACATAGTAGATTTTCCAAATAATTATTAAGATATACAATACAGAGTTCAAAGAGCACTGTATCCCTAATTGGCAGTAAAAGAAAAGAAAAAGTTCTCTTTTACCTAAATAGTTGTAAAAAATTGTGGCATAAAAAAACATTGATATTTGCGAATTTACTAATACTAAATTAGGATGTAACGCAAAAGTAACCCACTAGTTATAAAATATGCCAAACATAAACATAAAATTAGAAGATATAGGTACGTGCGTATCCAATGAGTTACGGTACCGGTTATGTAATCAAAATATAAATTATATAAAAACGCTATATTACGACATAAGCGCGCAAATTAAAATAAACGGATTTTTATCTGAAAAAATTAAAATAAACAGAGGAGTAAGGCAGGGTTGTCCTCTTTCGATGATTCTATATATCATACAGGCCGAAATTTTCTCAGGGTATATCAGAGCAAATAAAAACATAAAAGGAATAACAGTAAATCAAAAGAAAACTAAAATCCAGCAATACGCTGACGACACAAACTTCTATTTAATAGGAGATGAGTCGATAAAAGAACTCGGAAGGGCTTTAGAGCTCAACGAGCGAGCCACTGGAGCCAAATTAAATGTAACCAAATGCCAAGGTTCAAAAGGAAAAAGAATAATAATTAATCAAATACTCTTAAGTAACCTTTGGCATTTAGCTTTTACGGTGCCAATACCCAACGAAAGAATAATTAAATTTATTGAGAAAATTGTTGAAAATTTTCTCTGGAGCAACAGCTCAATCAAAACAAATCAAAAAGTTTCTAAACTCCCTATTAACCAGGGAGGTTTAAGCATCATAGACATAGGCGAAAAACTAAAATCCATCCAGCTAACTTGGGTGGCAAAAATTTTTAATCGCACTCTAACAGGCGCATGGAAAGACGCTGCGACGCATATTTTCAATAGTTATAGAAAAACTAATCAAGGAGAAAATATTTTTATCACAACTCACTCAAGCAGCGCAATTGATACTCTCCCTGTGTTCTATCAGCAACTAATTAAAAACTGGAGTTACATTTTTAACGGCGAGAGCGACATAACAAATATGTCCATTGAGGAAATCCTCAACCAGCCCATTTTTTATAACAATTTTATAAGAGACAAAAACCACCAGACTCTAAAACCTAAAAAAGAAACAACTTTGAACCAAATATCTAAAATATCTGATCTTGCAAAGGTTTTTGTGTCCGGATTCTTGGATTACCAATTAACCGGTCTTAAACAAACAACATTTAAAAAAATTAAAACCTCCATTCCACGAGTTTGGAAGACAAAAATCAAAAAAGAAAGTCAATCTTATGACCACAACAAATCAAATTTCACCTTAAGAAACTTTATACACCCCTTAAAACCGGTTCTGATTACCGATTTAACATCAAAATCAATTTATGACTTTTTTATGAAAAAGAAATACAGTTTGGGTGTAACAACCCTATTTACTAGGTGGAACTCTGTTTTTGAAAAGAGCATGAGGGGAACCTCCTCAAAGGAATGGTCCCTTCTCTTTCAAAACATATTCAAAAGAAATAGTAATAACAAAGCAAACGAAATAAAATATAAAGCTATTTACTTTGTGCTACCGACAAACTCCATCTTTAAACGCAGAGGTCATGCACCTGATGACCTTTGTCCCCAATGTATGAAAGATAGAGAAACTCCATCTCACATGATATATAGTTGTGAAAAAGTGCAACCTTTAATTAAATACACAATTTTTTTGCTAAATAAGATTTATCCTAGCAGTAAACCTTTTAAAAACACTTTTAAATTTTATCTTTTTGGTTTTGTTGAAAACGCGCCAAAATTTTATATTAGTAATTTATTGCTTGACGAGCTTTTATATTATGTCTATTCAATACGAATGAGATCATGAGAGAAGTATGAGCGCAAGAATTTTAAAAGCATATCAAAAATTAAAAAACTACTTCAGATCGAACACGACATTGCAAAAGAAAACAATCAAGTGAACTCTTTTTTAAATGAAACTAAAGAAATAAGAGATATAAACGGAAACATAAAACTAGAAAATAAGTTAAACCAATTTTTGAATTAAATCAAAAAACCTTATACTTTTTGAAAGACCATAACTTTTTACTTTTTTATTTTTAATTTTCGCCTTTTCATTTTACTTTTTTCTTACTTTTCTAAACTTGCTTATTCTTGATGCGCTCCGTTTCTCGACTTGAAAAGCATAGAAAAACTTTGTAAATATTTCTATGTAATTCTTGTCAAGTAGTCCACAAGGCAATTAGCTGGCGGACTACTGAAATATAAGCACAATACCATTATGTAATCAAAGTTTTCGACCATTTTATCAAAGCGTGCATAGCGTTTGAGTTGTAAGAATGTATTTTGTTGTGTTATTTTTTAGGATTTTATATCAGCATAGACTATTTTAAAAAGTGTAAGAGTTAAACTTCATTTTTGGGTAGTTTTTTATTTGTAGTTACAACCGCTTTTATTGAAATTACTTTTCTTAAAAACTTCGTTGTTGATCACACGTCAAATTAATATTGAAGGAATGCTGAGAACATTTTTGAAACTATTAAGAAAAATATAAAAAACTATTTTCTACGAGCATGCCAAATATATTGAAAAAGATTATGTAGCAGACACCTAATTTTTTGTAGCAGAACATGCACCTTGGTTAAAATATTGTAAAGAAAGCAAAATATTAAGCTTCTAGCAACAAAGTTCGATAACAAAATTAAAATTGCTTAAAAAAACTGCATTTTTTTAAGCAATCCTTGTAATCAAATTTTGTTACTTAAATGAACTTTTTGTAGAATTGTTATTTTATGAAATTTTCACTATTGTAATGCTCATTTTAGCCTCTTTCCAATGATATATAATAATCAATAATAAAAATAGTTTAAAGTTTTTACACACCTGCCTAGAAGATATAGAAGACTGCTGCTTGCTATGTGGAGTATTATTTGCTGCACAATTTACTGCATTTAGCTGAGGCATTTAGCTTCATCTTTAAGAAAACTATAAACTATTTTGATTTTTTTCAAAAACTTGTTAGTGTAGTACTTTGTTAAAAAAACTTGTTAGGAAGTACTTTTATTTTGGAGTGACATCACGTCGACTGGATATATATGATAACAGTTAAGCTTAATTTGCTGAATAGACATTTTTTTTAATGAAAATTTATCAATAATAAGAGCAATAGTATACGTAAAACAACTGTATTCTGTATAATTACAAATAACTATTTTTATACAAAATTAAAATAAATATTTCGGTTTCCAAAATATAATGCATAGCAAAACAAAAACAAAAAAATTGAGCTCGTTGTCAAGAAGTAAAAAATTTTTATTAAGGAGATAATTTTTTAAGAGTAAAGAACAAAATATACAACATATTAGTTATAATAATTACGATGAGGGTATGGGTAGCATCGTTTGCTGCGTTCTATACACATTCCTTCTTTTTTAACACCAGCATTTGGGCAAAAAACAAGACCATATGGACACGGCATGCATGTTGCCTTTTGGGAAGTACATGATACATATCCTGGTCGAGGATAATTATCTATTGCATAGTTTCCGTCAGAGCGATAAATACAATTCTTAGTTACGTCCATACCTTTAAAAAAAATTCAAAAGTTTATCTAATTTTACAAAAAACAACAATAACAACAAAAAAAAATGAATTGCACTAATAAATATTTGAATGTGCTAAAATAAGCTTCATACCTGTGCAGAAAATTCTGCCGTCGGGTTGATACCTAGGTCTGTAATATTTATTATAATCAGAGTTTATAACTATTGCGTTTGATGCGATAACAAGAACGGAGATCGCAATAAAAAAGAATTTCACTCCGGTGTTTGCCATTGTAATTTTGTAAATAATGAAACTTGTGAATTTTTTCTTAAATAAATAAGATGCCTGAAATGAATTTTTTGTGAACTTTTAAAATTTTGTCATCTATTTATGTAAAAAATTTTATAATAAAAGTCTAATTAAAATTTACGTGTAATTATAACCCTATCAAAAATCTTTAAGTGACGATAAAAGTGGTTTTGGTATATTATAATGCAATCTCATTGATATCTTTTAAATATTTCTATTAAAGTTATATATACATAGTAATCACCAATATTGCTACGTGACCACTAATATTGTTATGAGGCCGAATTTAACTTAAAATTAGAACTCGGATATCTTTTAGTTACGTTTGAAATTAGCAATATTTTTTCTCGTATATATACATAAAAAAAAAAGTTTAACAAATAAAAAATTAAACAAATGACGTAATTTTAATATTGTTATAAAATATCTTTATTTTAATTTATTATTTGATTAATAATTAAAAACAAAAACAAATTTAAATAAGCATTTTCATTGAGACATTCAAAAAAGTTGTTCGATGTATTTTTTATTAACAACATATACATCTCTCAATAATGTAAAGTATACATGAAAAGGATTTAAGGAAATCAGAAACATCAAACTTTCTACTTATTCTTTTAGTCTTCAGTATCAGTAAAAACATAAATTCAGATCATAAGACTGTTGCTAATGTATCTCACTGGCGTAGGAACAGGGGGAGCGGGAGCGGAGAGGGCTTTAGCCCCTCCAACTAAAACACTTGGGGGAGGTGGACACGGCAAAAGATGACTAATCACGTCTAAAAAATGATTAATCACATTGTGTGTGATAAATAATTGAATAAATAGATCATTTTTATCCATTTTGCTGTATCATACAAAAATGAGGAACTATTTCCTTTTTATCCTATGTTTTCAGCCCCCAACTTTCGCGACCTTCCCACGCCACTGATGTATCTAATCATCATTTATCTACTTAAACAAGCTACTTTAAAAAAATCATTTAAATGTGTTTTAGGCAAATTTTCAATGTCCAATTTTTTTTTGTTTTTTTCATTTAATCTGAGACTAAAAGTAAGATCTTAAAAACAAACACAAGGCTTAGTCCCAATAGTATTTCTACGTTTTTTCTCAAACTCATACCTCGCATAATCTTCAAATCTTTATGTACCATAAAATGAGGTGACTTTGGCCTGGCAGGTTACTTTAGCTAATTTATAAATATATATAGTTTTATATATATGTTTATAGTTTTACTTTTAAAAACTACTTTGTACTTCTGCGACTTCTTCCAAATTTTAGTTTTTTATAAAAGTAAAAGTTATTAAAATTAATAAATAAACTTAGTTTGCGTAACTTTTGATATAGTGTTTTCATTTTTTTTAGAGTCTATAAAAATTGTTAAATTTATATGCTGCAAAATTGTGAGTAGGTTGAAAGTGCTGTTAATATTTGAGTGGGTTGTGATGTTATAACTAAGAGTAAGTTTAAATTGGGTTAGTTTTTTACAATAGTTGCCAAATTTTCAACTCTTCTTATTAAAAATAAATTTATGTAAAAATAAATTTATGGGGTAGCTTTGGCCACAACTTGGGCTGACTTTAACCTAAGAGAATAAATTTAATTATTTGATTTTCAATATTATATTTTTGATTTATTTTTCAGAAAATGTTGTCTATAGATATTATTTTATTGGTTTAATTTCCAATTTTTGTTTTTAGGACAAAATATTAATTAACAATCATATTTATATCAAAGGAAACATGCCAAGAACATATAAGCGTGTTGCTGGAAGTCGTGATTATATTCCATACACTCAGGAAACATTAGTTAAATGTTTAAAAGAAGTAAGAAGTGGTTATAACACAAACAGATGCTTGCTTAACCTTTAAAATTCCTCTATCAACAATAAAGAATAAACTGAAAGGTATACATAATAAAAAACCAGGCGGTTGCACAATACTTAGTGAAATTGAAGAAGAAATTTTTGCAAACTATGTTATAACTATGTCTTATTTTGGATTCCCAGTTGACTTTTATGATTTACGAAGTATTGTAAAGTCCTATGCAGACTGTAAAGGAATGTTTGTTAGGCAATTTGTAGGGAATATGCCTGGTGTTGAATGGGTAAAATCATTCCTTATAAGAAATAAACAATTAAGCGTTAGATTTGCAAGTAATATTAAAAGAAAGAGGGCAGATGTAGGTACTGATATTAATAATAACTTTTTTGATAACATTACTTCTGAACTAGCAGGGGTTCCTCCATCAAACATTTGGAATTACGATGAAACTAATTTAACCGATGACCCTGGTAATAAACTAGTTATAACAAAGCGAGGATCAAAAAATATCCTGAGAGGATAATTAATTCAACTAAGTCTGCTACATCTTTGACGTATTGTGGTAATGCAGAAGAGCATTTCCTTTCTCCATATATTGTATATAAAGCAGATTCGATGTGGACAACTTGAACAGAAAATGGACCAAAAAGAGCACGTTATAACCGCTCAAAGAGTGGATGACTTGACTCCAGTTGTTTTACAGATTGGTTTGAATCTTTATTGTTACCTGAACTAAAAAAAACTTCTGGAAAACATGTTCTAATTGGAGAAAATTTGTCGTCACATATAAATGCATATGTACTATCTTTGTGTGAAGAAAACAACATCAAGTTTATTGCACTTCTTCCTAACTCTACGCATTTAATGCAGCCATTGGATGTTGCATATTTATTGACCAATGAAAGCTCAGTGAAGAAAAATATTAAGAGCTTGGAAGGAAAGTTGCAAAGGACGTAAAGCTCCTTCCCTTCCAAAAGACCAGTTTCTAGCATAGCTTAAATGTCTCATGAAAAAAATTGAAGAGCCTGGTTGTGAAAATATGAAGAGAGGCTTCAGAAAAACTGCATTACTACGATTATTTTAAAAATAATTACTCTTTTTGGTGTCTACCTTCTTTTGAATGAAATTCATACGAAATTTAATATCTCCGATACAAATAAGCAAGTCTGATATAAGTTCAACTCATTATTTTTAAATGAAAGGAAATACAAACTCTACCTTATCACGATCAATTTGGTCAAACTATGCCTTTTTAAGTTTTGCCTTCTAACTTGCCTATAGACATTTATAAAATAATGACGGCAGATTTGATTTTAATTGCAAAGTATAATGCCAAAACTTTTATCGAAGTTTTACTTTATTGCGAGCAAATCAAGTTAATTTTTTCACCTACAATCAAAGTGCCTCTTCACTACGGCAAATTGGCAACTTTTGAAAAGAGCGACTACGCCGAATTATAAAACATGGTTAAACGGGTCTAAAGCCATAATACAAGGAAAAGATGTTAGAGCATTGATATTTTATAGCACTTTGATTAACGGACAATTTATTCATCAAAAAAATAGCGGCGGGGCAATAATACAATCTTGGAAAGACGGTTTGCCTTTAAAAAATATCACTATAAAAATGTGTCAACCGATCGGAAACAATTTAGTGCCTTATACATTACTTTTACAAAGAGATAAATACAGTTTAATCAACAAAACTAAAATCCGTTTACTGTTTACAAAACTAAAATCCGTTTACTATAGAAGTAGATCAAAACATGACGAGCACAATGAATCAAGATTTTAAAATTCAAAAGAAAAAAATTACTTGTTTAAAATGTACTTAGATGCAAATAAGTAATTTTTATATTTTAATTTAAAATTTCAAATTCAAACAGTCCTTATAAAAAACAATATAAAAAACGAAATCGACCGTTTGAAGAAAGAAAGAATTCAATTAAAAAAAGAAATGAAAATACGCGTAAATAATAAAATTGAAGAACAACTCAATCAAAAAGAATCATACAATATTATGAGCGATCTGTTGAAAAAAGGACGAAATTCAACGAAATCTAAAACTAAACAAATCGTGTCAAACTGTCAAAATTAAAATTAAAGATAGAGAGCAAGAAGTCTCTCTGAAAAACAATCAACTGGAATTGACAATATTGAAAAATGTAAATGAGCCTTTTTTAATTGTATAAAATGAACTGATTGAATTTGTTATAATAAAAAAACGAGTTACAAAAGATGTTTTTTTTTTTGTTTTGTTTTTTTTAAATGTCTTTTTTTTGCGGTAAAAGAAGATATGATAAAAATTTAATTAATATAGAATCCGAAAATTTGAAAGTCAATCATAAAGAAAAATTAAATCAAATTAAAAACCATGTAAATCATCTTCAAAATCAACTCTTCTACCAAATCTGGTTGTGAATCAGATTTGGTAGAAGAATTGACCATGCAAATCATCTTCAAAATCAACTCTTCTACCAAATCAAATGTGAACATTTAGAAAAATGAAAACATAAAAAAGAAAAAGAAGAAGAATACGAAGAAGAAAAATCTAAAAAAAAAGAAAGCTATTTAAAAAAATGGTAAAACGGAAAAATCGAAACGTAAAATACGAAAATATTCAGAGCAAGAAAGCGAAAGTTCAGAAGAAGAAGAAGAATTTGAAAAAAAAATCAGAAAAACAAAGTATCATTTCCTTCACACGTCTGTTCTCAAAATTTTCAAGAAGTAAAAGCAGTAGACAGTATTCACGGCTTATGCAGAAATTGTATTATTTCACAAAGAGCTATTTTATCTAGCCCCCTTAGGGGTGGATCTAGAATTTTATATAGATGTAGCTAAAATTTGTAAAGCTACGTCATAATTGCAACTATTTAATAAGTCGGTTAGTCTACGTCAAACAGATGTCCGATAATTACGTCATGTAGACGCCGCCAGTCTTTATTTCACTTTTTGCACACATATATTTTTTATTTATTTTTAATGGATTCTAGTAAAATAATTAATGATAAAATATAAAATTTGACTTGGCTATTCTGTTCGTAATTTAGACATAATATCTAACTTACTTAACGAAGTGCACCAACTAGAAGGTAAGCCATAGGACTTTGCATACCGTATGTAAGTTGTAATGCTGCCTAAAGTTAGCTCTCCAATTCTATCCTTTATATTCTTTCCTTTATATTTTTGTTACTA